GATTACCATGGTAAATCTTACCTTCTGTCCGGTAAAAGGAACAGCTTACCGTATGGATTACCATGGTAAATCTTACCTTCTGTCCGGTAAAAGGAACAGCTTACCGTATGGTTTACTTTAATAAATCTTACCTTCTGTCCGGTAAAAGGAACAGCTTACCGTATGGATTACCATGGTAAATCTTACCTTCTGTCCGGTAAAAGGAACAGCTTAACGTATGGATTACCATGGTAACTCTTACCTTCTGTCCGGTAAAAGGAACAGCTTAACGTATGGATTACGAGGCTGTTGATTATCTCTTAAAGATAATCCGGATGCACGTACAACAGTGACCACGAGTTGAAGAACTGAGACATCGTACCAGAACTTAACCTGAAAGATTTTAAGGGTATGTCGTGGGTTTCTTGTAATAAGACAGTAATATGAGAATTAAGCTCACGACAGATTATCATAATCCTAGCAGTGTTAATTGAGGTTTAGGCTAAGTTAAGCTAATCCAGATTATTTTAATAAAATATGTTAAGTGTGTGAGGACTATATGTGAGTCCTGGAAATAGATACATAAGAAAATGAGCCACTGAAGTAAAACTCAAATATCTCATGATCTTTATAAGACAGGAACAATGGCTACCTGGAAATGGACAGAAAGAGCAAGGATAGTGAAGAAATACGTCAAGTACGTTGTAATACGTTTCTCGACAATCATGATATATAGAAAAACATCAGTTGATGTAAAGATTAATAAATATAGTAATTTGGACTTATAGATACAGAGTTTATCACGCATTGTCAAAAAAAGATACTGTCTTAGAGAAAATAAAACGAACCGTATGGCTGATGGTAAGCTCACAATGGAAGGAATGACGCAACAGATCAAAGGTCTCTTCTAATCAATTTACTTTACCCAGAAACCCCCAGCTAATCCAGGTGTTGTCTTTTAAACTTTCTGCTTTCTTGGAACCATACTTTTCCTTTTGTGTATTATGTCCTCACCCGAGGAAACCGAAAGTTTCTTCGTCAGAACACAATACGGGTTCCTGTTTTCACGTTCTGGGTTATCTTGATATATCTAAACGTGAGAACACAATACGGGTTCCTATTTTCACGTTCTGGGTTATCTTGATATATCTAAACGTCAGAACACAATACGGGTTCCTGTTTTCACGTTCTGGGTTATCTTGATATATCTAAACGTGAGAACACAATACGGGTTCCCAAGTTCATAGTTAAGACTCCCTAAAACAGTTGCTTTAGTGTATCTAAAGATGAAAACGTAGTAAGGGTTCTTACTTTCACGTGGGTTCCTATTTTCACGTTCTGGGTTATCTTGATATATCTAAAGCATTGTGTTCTCACGTTTAGATATATCGAAGTAGCTAATTTTTATGCTGATGCTGCTGGAAATGGGAGTGGAGACACAGTACTTATTATAGACAAGCCACAGGCATGATAAGTTTATCTATTGATTCATGAAAGCTGTCCGACCGCCAGTGATTTGAAGAATTTAGATATCTCCGCCAGTCGAACATGCTTGAGAATGTAGTTTTTATTGCACAAAAAAAAAAAGTTTTAGCTTAGTCTGATCTGTGACTTAAAATATGGGAAACTGTGAAAGTGGCAAGTTATAAAAGCCCTCGAGCAGCTTTGTGTTAAATTTTAAGAAAATCAAAAGTTTTTACTCCAGACTTTTTTAAATCCAAAATAAAATCAACTAAACAGATCTACAATCTTTTAGACGATATAGGTGTTTCATCAATTTTATTAATGGACTAAAAATCTATTAATAAAGACTCAAAATACTGAAATCACCTCACCTGTATCCTTCCGCCAATCACGGGCGTGTGAGTACGCAGCAGTACAGTACCAGAAGAGCTAGATGGAGTCACTGTGTTAGATATTCGTCCTTCTGTTCTGCTCTGCTTTCTCGGATCGACGACAGCTGGGTCTGTAGAAACATAAGAACCCAAAGTAAGCTGATGATCAAAGCAAAAGTAAGATCGATAACTAATGTAAATTAATCGGAAATGACGTCATAATACAAAATAAACAAGATGCAATAAGCACCGTAATACGTGTTTGTTGCTATCAGTATCAGTTTGGGTTACCTGAGTTACGTCTATATCTAAGCCTATAATAACGACAAAATTGTATCACCTATTGTTACTACTGTGTTGAATACTTAAAGAACCAGTTTTTTAACTAGGTTTTACTACCTGTGGTTACTACTGTGTTCAAGACTTCAAGAACCAGTTTTTTAACTAGGTTTTACCACCTATTGTAGTAACCACAGGTGGTAAAACCTAGTTAAAAAACATTGGTTCTTTAAGTATTCAACACAGTAGTAACCACAGGTGGTAAAATCTAGCTAAAAACTATGTTGAAGAATTCATGAACCAGTTTTTTAAACTAGGTTTTACCACCTATCGTTACTTCTAAAACAAAAATACTTTTTTAATGCTATACTTCCTAACACTAACGTGTTTCAGATAAAAAAAAGTAATAACCGATGAATTATTTCAAAACTGTTCTCTCACCAGAAGGAGTTCGTGACTGCCTCCTAAGGGTTTCTTCTTTTACGTTCATTCGTCCAACGTCGCTAAAAACCAAGAGTGCATAGTTACTTTTTATTTTAAACGGTACATCAAATTTTTTGAAAATTATACACAAGAACATTTTAGAAACGACATGTTCAGCACTGCAATGTTATAAAAATTATAAAAACGTATTAGTGAAAGTAAAGAAGAATGTAATAATATATCAACCGCATTATATTTATATATATATATATATACAGTGACGCCGAAGCTTTTCGCTTAATACCAGAGCTCATCAGACCGACAGACATAATAGTGTTGAAGTGAGATAACTTAGACGTTATATTTTACCAATTGTTTTTGATAACTATTCGGGCTGCAGAACACACTTGTGTTAGGTGTTGAAAACTACTTTCTAGTTATTTAACCAAATATATATATATATATACACACATAGAGAGAGAACTTTCCAGTACTATAAACCTTACCCTTTTTATTTTGTGAAAGCGGGAAATAGAACGTTAAAGCTTTACGATTTGTAAAGTACTTCAATAGTTTGTTTTGACAAATTTTACTAATCTATATTCTCTTTTCTCTACGAAATATCTCAAAACATTAAGAGAATCTAATTTTTTAGATGGAGTAAATTAAGAAACATTTGGCTACAGGTAAATTACTCCTTTCTAAGTTACAGAAATATGCCCAACAACTACTGTCGTCTACATTACAATCTACCGAACTTCATTCAATTTGGCTGAGATTCTGGACATTATGAAGGTCATTTAAAATGTTACCAAGGTTCTTGAGAAATGCATAAACATTTACAAAAATTCAGATAAAGACACGAACTATTTGGACATCATTTGTAAAGTAATCATGGTAATAGTAGCTGATATATTCATTCAAAGCTTCATTTAAACAAAGCTCGAGCATACTTCATAATCACAAAGAGCTTTAACCTTTGAACTCAATGATAAATCAACTTTAATATATATAGTTTTGATTCTCCTGACTTAATTCCTTGTTTAATGTTAACCTATAATTTATTTAATTTTGATCTTTCTGACTTAAATCATGGTTTAATGTTAACCTCTAATTTCTTTAGTTTTCATCCTCCCGACTTAACTCATGGACCAATATTGACATCTAGTATCTTTAGTTTTGATCCTTCTGACTTAACTCATGGACCAATATTGACATCTAGTATCTTTAGTTTTGACCCTCCTGACTTAACTCATGGACCAATATTGACCTCTAGTATCTTTAGTTTTGATCCTCCTGACTTAACTCATGGACCAATATTGACATCTAGTATCTTTAATTTTGATCCTCCTGACTTAACTCATGGACCAATATTGACCTCTAGTATCTTTAGTTTTGATCCTCCTGACTTAACTCCTGCAGAGAGAGAAGAGCAGAATAAATAAGAAGTAGAATTACTTGTAATGACTAATGAGAGAAGATCAGAAGAAATGATGAGTGGAGTTATTTGTAGTCACTGAAGAATGAAGAGGTGTAAAAACTGGATATTTCTCGAATACCAAAATCGTGAAGATGATAACAAAGTGAGTGGCAGTATTTGTGACAGTTCTCAAGAAGTAGGTTCCATCTTTAATAGCTGCCGAGTTCATTTCAGATGTTGTTTTAAACCATAATTATTATTGTAATTAAAAGAAACTTCGTACTACGTGAGGGTTGATAAGGTTACGTGCTTTAGTGGTAAATTTTTGTTATTAAACCCTTTTTGAAATCAGTATGTCTTCGTCCCCAAAACAAGACCCAACAATCTATCGTAGAGTTGGATTGAGTGTAATATCTCAACAAAAGGAATGACCTATAGGTTTTCTATAAGTATTTTACGTGTCTCTAAGCTACTAGAAATACCAATAGACTGACATAAGAGAGTGTTATGTACTATTTTATCAATTAGGTGAATAAAAATAAATCAAATCAATCAAACTTGCCACTTGATTGACAGCGAATTTTTGGCGTAAATATTATTTTGCCACAAGATGATTAAAGAAGGTATATTTGTAGAATTATAATTGATTATAGTAGTTAAGATGAGAGGTTAAAATACAGGGTGGTCCAAAATTACCTTTCCTATTAAATATTTTAAAATTTAATAATTAAATAACTAGAGAAATACAACCAAGCAGTTTTCAACATCTTGTAGCCCAACTCAATCAGTTTTTATTCACATGTCAGTAGACTTCCACGTGTGCACCATTAGTGGCTCTCAGCACGTCTAACCGATATCCGATCTCAGTTTACGTTCGTAGCAGCATGCCCATAGTTACAGTGGCAATGGCATCCGTTATCCTGGTCTTTAGCTCTACGATGTTTGCTATAGGTGTGCAATACACGATGTCCTTAACATACCCCCAAAGAAAGAAGTCTAGTGGAGTGATCTGGCGAAGAGGAAGTCACGGAATTGACCCACCTCGACCGATCTATCGCTTCTGAAAAGTCTGATCTAGGAAGCATCTGACTAAACTCCAGTAAATGTCTTATTCAGAAAGTATCTGAACAATAAACTCCAGTAAATGTCTGATTCAGGAAGAGTCTGACTAAACTCCAGTAAATGTCTGATCAAGTAAGCATCTGACTAAAACTCCAATAAATGTCTGATCCAGGAAGCATCTGACCAATAAACTCCAGTAAATGTTTGAACTAAGAAGCATTTGACTAAACTCCAGTAAATGTCTAATCCAGGAAGTATCTGACCAATAAACTCCAGTAAATGTCTAATCCAGGAAGTATCTGACCAATAAACTCCAGTAAATATCTGAG